GGGGGGGGGGGGGGGGGGGGCGTACTCATTTGTTGCTTGCCGTAGTCATTTGACCATTGACCACGCGTCCCTTTCGAGACGGAGCACCGTTCCTACACCTACTAGAGACACCACCAACATTTGGGAGCTCTTTACGTTTCTGCCACAAACTCCATAAATATTTCTTGCACATCTTATCCCCGTCCTCTAGGGCCTCTTGTGCCCACCATCTATCCCCAATTATCGCGATCGTTTTTTCGCTGTTGTCTAATTTACCAAACTTGTCCATGTCACACCCTCTCTGTCTCATTTCCTCCTCGAGATCCTCTCTTTCCTTCCTGTACAACTCACACTCCCCAACTATGTGGGGTCTACTCTCCTCCGATTTGCCACATGGACATGTGTGTCTATCCTCCTCTTCCTCTCTCCTACGGCTGGTATACCTCTTCCTCCGTTCTGGCAAGTCCAGATCGCCTACTCGAAATTGCAATTTCAGCTTTTTCGCATAGTCCATGGGGCCGTCCAAGTACGTCTTCATCCCTATCCCTTCTTTCAACTTCCCGTATATCTCCAAGTGGTCTTCGCTTCGTACCTTCTTCCGAAGGGTTGCCTCCTCCCCACTCTCTAGCATCTCCTTGACTTTCGTCTTGAACCCCCCGAACCCTTCCGTGTCCAACGTCTCCTCCTCGTCTCCTATCTCCTTCCAAACCTTCTCTACCACCTTGTCCCATCTGATTCCCTTCTTCCCTGGAGTCGCTTTTCCCCAAGCTGCCTCGTCAACCATGGCTGGTAGTCTATCGTCCGACATTCTACTTACCTTGTACTGCCAATTCAACTTCTGCATGTCTGGGGGCGGGGGGGCGTACTCTTATGTTTTGCATGCCTTAGCGGTTAGACCATCGACCACGCGTCCCTTTCGAGACGGAGCACTGTTCCCACAGGACCGATCACCGATGGCCAATCGTTCCTTCCTACTTTGCCAAAGGTGGCTCAAAAATGTCTTCCCTAGTCTGTCTATCCTAACGATATCCCTTCCCGCCTTTTCAAACCACTTCCTACTCCCCAGTACAGCTACTGTCCTCTCCTCTCTATTCCATGCCTCAAACATCTCCCTGTACGTCCCTTGTATTTTTCCCTGTTCGGTCATGTACACTTCCCTCTCCTCTTCGTACCACGGGCATTCCGCGACTACATGAACACGGTCTTCGCATTCGAAGCCGCAATCACATTTGAACTTGTCGCCTTCGTCGTCTACCGTCCTATGTCTTCGTCGACGTTCTCGACGGCCTATGTCCCCGGTCAGGGGGGGAGGGGGGGGTTGTTCTCTCGCGGTCTGTACCGAGTCTTTTGATCGTGTATGTCAGCCATGACGAGCACCATCAATATTCCTGACAAGAGCCCTACGGACGCCGTGAAGTGAAGAAGTAAAAGATACTTCTTCCTTCTAAATTATTTCATGTTTTTTTGTTTTTGAGTCCGGCGATGGTCTATTATAGTCTCCCACAAGCACCATATGCTGCCCCCGGGAGGCAAATCACCTATCTCCCGCAGGGGAACCATGTATCTATCACAATTTTCTGTCTCTTCTCTCTTTCTGGTACAGTAGTTTAAGTCAAGTTTGTCGTAAGATATTGTCATTTATGTTGCAAGTCGGATTCAGGACTAGTGTGCGGATCAGCGACAATAATAATCTTCATACACGGCCGGATGAGCCATGACAAGAAGGTAGTATTCGTACCTCGCGATGGAGCACCAAGAACTTAGGAGGGGTTTCTCGTTTCCCTCTACATCATGGTCTCACCTTTCGACTTCCTTGTTCTCACTGTCCACTCTGGACATGTCATGAGCCATCTCCACCTAGATAAAGAGCGAATTTGTGAGAAAATTGCCCACGATTGACGCCGACGAACAAACAGAATAGACAGAGAAGAAACAAGGCGGTGGCCCAAGAATGTAAGAAGGAAACGCGCAAGTAGCTTGAATCGACTGATTCGAGTCATGTGACGGAAGTAGGTAAACAAGTAGCTCTCTGTTTAGACGTCACTAATCTATCGGGTTATAGTGCAATTTCCGGGCAACGACTGCACAAGTTAGCCTTGGTCGTCATGGTTCAAGTTTCGTCTTTGCCTGTCATCTTCGATTCTACACCTATTTTCGCTTTTGAAACAGGAAACACTTGGTATCCTTTCGGTCTTGTCCTATCTAGGATGGCAGAGAAGGGATAGCCTCGAGCTCTTCTGCGTCGAAAAATCTCGAGCTGATTGTTCGGAGACCGGTCATGAGATAAGGATCGTGGGTGAACGGGGGGAACCGCAGTTGTCATAAAGAACTGGATAAACACAAACAGGTAACAACACGCTACAGCCGTGGCTTCTGCGGCGGACACAGCGCCATGGCAACGCTTACCTCCCCTGCTCCCACGATCTCAAGCCACCACCGCACCGGTTGCTCTGGATTACTCTTGTGATCGTTTCTCTTCATACAGTCTTCGGGACTCCTGTCAGGTAACTCTGTGCCTGGCACCAGAGCTAACGACGACGCTCCCGTCTCAGTTGCTGTTGGTGCTGAAATTGATGGGGTTGATATCGTCGTTTCTCCGTCTCCGGTGCAAGAGGACCTAGAGATATCGCCTCCTCCCCCTGCACCCTTGTCACATTGCTGGGTTTCCTCCTCGCTGCTGCCGCCCCCGGCATCGTCCCACATGAAAAAGTTCTTGAAATGAGTCTACGAGGTAGTTTCGTCATAGAACGAACTTCAAAAGTGCATGCCGCTGTCAGGTGCAGGATAAGAAACTGCTATGAGAGATCCCAACCAGAATCCACGCATGAGGGCTTGAATTAAGTTTCACCGCAGGCGGGCGCTTTTGAGGAGAATTTCGCGCTACGTATTTGAGGGCTGCGCTAAATACACTTTTATACGTAGGTTCCCTGCAGTATAGCCTACAAGCACGTCCACGAAAACAACCGTTCACGGCCTTGATACTTTCGAAGCATGTATTTTTGTATGTAAACTGTCGCTTGGTGAAAACCTTGCCCTGATCCTCAATATCCCTCGAGCCTACGGCGTCGCATGTGATATCTATGCATCACCTGGTGCTTGGTCTGGAAGAATTCCTTGAAGGGATCTCTACGGGGGGGGGGCAGAAGTGGGCCATCCCCTCCGGTGTGGGTTGGAAGTAATGGGGGAGCTCGGACAGTAGGCTTGGTGAAACCTGCGTGCAATCAGAAGGGTACCTGGAGTCAAGACCCATCACCCTTGGGGTTGCGGATAATGCAACGTTTGAAACCGTATAACAAAAGTCAGGTTGTGAGAGCCCTGCATTCGACGGAGTGGATGGATACTGCAGTAACACGTTGGAAGATTCTTCGGGAGACAACGCTAATAAGCTGTCGAACCAAGTGGTCCCAAAGAAACACAATGAAGGGCGTAAAAACCTTGGCTGGTCCACCTCGCTAATATCCACGCCAACTAAACAACTACTTGTTGGCATATGTCTGCAAAACGCATCCAGTTGGATTATCGAGCACACGGGCCGAAAAACAATGAACGCAAAACGTTAGAAAAAATGCGCACGTCGTGACAGAACATACGGGCCGAAAAACAATGAACGCAAAACGTTGGAAAAAATACGCACGTCGTGACAGAACCGTGTGGTGATACTTACCTCCATTTTTTCCCAATCAAGCGCGGCCTCAATGATTATTTTTGGTGCTGCCAGAGCAGCTTGCTCAGCCGCCGCGGCCGCTCCCGCTGCTTTGTCCGTGCTTCCTCCCTTACCCTTGTCCTTGGAGGGCATTTCGTTTGTTGATAGGCTCGAAGGGTCAATCTCTGTTGCCGACGGCGGTGTGACGGCAAGGGCCTGTCGGGTTGGGTCGGGTCCGGCAACATAAGTTGACATAGATGTAATTGCTACCGAAGAGGGTCCAAAGTAGGCTTACACAAACGCATTTCCAGTGCAGACTAACAACGTTGATTACAAGCAATAGAACAATTGCGAAGTAGCTTTTTGGAATCGGAACAAGAACAATCATGACCGGGGCGTCACCTATTGACGATGACACGATCGATCTGGCCTACTCGAACTGAGCACTGTGGGCACTTCGAGAACTGAGAGAAACCAACCTCTCCTCCTCTTCCCCTTGCCAGTGAAAATTAGTATTTGTGCCTGCCTCACATGTCGAGGAATTCATGTCGCAGTTAAACAATAACTCAAGAAAGAAAACGTTTCCCGTCAATTGGAAGGCCCGTGCGTTAGGGACAACAACCACATCTCATCAGAGACATCTACAAGAAGAGTGCTAGTCTTCTTGCTTTCAGAACAAGTTTGAAAACACGGATGTACGGACCACCTCCTAATAGCAAAAGGGCCAATGTTGATGACTCTCGCCTGTAAAATATGTTTACCGCGGATGTCGCGGATAGTTTCTCCAGTCGCAGCGTCGAGAAACAAGAGGCGGAGGCAGATTCCCGGAAGCGAGCACCGCAATCGGACAGCGAACGGTAGCGGCGACGCGCACTTCAACACGTCCCTGCCTCGGGAAAATGAGTGTAAGAGACACAGCAGTAAAGGAGAGAGAGAGAGATCGACACATACACGTCTATTGAGTCCCTTTGGTTTGTTTAGCGCTAACTCATCATCTGTCGTTTCAGGGCACGCGAGGTTGCGGTTGCGGTTGCGGTTGAACTTGGAGGAGATAGTTCGGCGGTCGTTTCCTTGCATCGTTGCCGGGTGGCTGGACGGCGTCGGGAAACAAGTACTCGAAAGAACACCAGCACTCTTCTTGCACCGTACCTCGATCATGGGTAAGAGTTGGAGATTTTGATCTAATGGAGCCGCTCTCAAGCGATTCCTTCTTCAACTGGATAGGTTCGATATTCGATACAGGGTTTATTCACTACAATACAAAGTTATTTCTTCCATGCTCGCTTTACTCAAAATGCGGTTCTCACTTGAACAGCCGAAGGTACTTGTTCGGGACGTACACCCCCCCATAAACCACGCGCTCTTGGCACGGTACAACAGTTGTTGCCGATCCTCCATGTGCAGCTTCCTTTCCTGTCCCGCCATCCGGATGGCTAACGACAGAAACACCTTTCGCAGAGTTGGCCGATGGATCAGAACCATCCCCTCCTCCATCCGCTCTAAGCTTCAGAGGAAGTAGGGGACGATCACTCAACAGCTGCAACCTCCACGCGCCCTTTGGGATCGCCTTTGCCCTGATTTATGGCATTGAATGCAACACATCAGAATGCAGCGCGCAACAGACAAGAATTTTGGGTGCAGGATCCCTCTTGAGGACGGAGCCGCCGAACAATGTGAGTTGCGTCTTACCCAAAGCTTGGTTACAAGAGTTGAGTCACATTTGTGAATACTTCAACCATCTTTTCCCCTTAAGAATTTGGTAGAAACCTGCAGCGCGCCTCACGCGTGGGCAGTGCCAATGTCGAGAATGAGATTTGTGCTCTGGCTCGAAAAGGATGCGAGCTTCACGATCTATCGCCCCCCACCACCCTTCATTTGTGCTGTGTACCTGCCACAAGCGGCTGCAAGCACAGAGTAGCCGCACTTGTTTGGTGCCAACGGCACTGCGTTGGTATGGAGCGACGGCGAGAGCATCTCCCTGCCCGTGTCCTCGTCGACAAAAGCCAAGCGCACCTGTGAAATGACAGTCAAAGGTTCTTCTCAGAGGGTCCGTTGATTCCTCACCTACATGAAAGAAAATCCAGGTGAAATCAGGTACCAGGTACAGTTTTTCTTCGCGTGTCCAACGAACCCGAGCCCGTGAACGCTGTGTTGCCCCATCGTACGCTTGATGAGTGTGGAAAAACCACACACACGACATGTGAACACATGCATGGCAACGGTTGCGGTGCATGTTTGATACCGGTCCGGTAACCTTTCGAGGCGTACATTCTTAGCGGTGTGAAGATCAGCGGTGTTGTGCAGAGCAGTTTGAAGATTGGCTGTCGAAAAAACTGGTGTCGGAATATTTTGTCCATTGTCCGAGTATTTTGAAGAGTAGCTGAACTAGTTGAGGTTCATGGTACCAACAAACAACACAAATATGGGAGTACTAATTGACATACCGGCAACGTTCGAGTGCACGGTACGACAGCTGAAATTTTGAGCACATTGAAATCTTCCTTAAGCAGACTGTCATTCTTTGTTGCACCTGTGTGCCATGAAGTGCTACTGCTTCCTGCTTACGTTTTCTGTGATCATGTTGTGTCGCACTTATCGAGTCCAACACATGGGAAAACGCAGTTCTGCGCGTTTTCGCATGAAGTATGCGTTTTCGCATCCTCAGCCCCTCGGACCCCCCCCCCCTTCCCATTCTCGCTCGGGAAAAAAGGGGAAACCTGTTTGCTTGGGGATAGTTTGAACTCCTGCGCATAGAGAACATCACTCGTGGAGACATGGTAGGCAGCCTCCATGATCACCAGGCGTATTTGCAAAAAAACAATGACCTTGATGTTGGTCATGGTAGGTAGTGACGATATGGTTATTGTAGGGACACACAGAAGATCGATAACCATGATGGCGTTGATGACATTGATATTGTAGGAGTTGCATGTCTAGTGACGTTTTCAACAACTACAGTAGTGGGCGCAGGTAAGACTGGAGCTACTTGCTGATGAAGATTCTACGGTAGGGATGGGTTGCCATGACGCTTGTCGCACGGAGAAGATGCCTGATATAGAGGTGAGCAAAGCAAGCGCCAAATCCAAATCATGATGTCTGGCGTAGTGCCTCTTCCATTAAATTAAACCATGCCGAAAACTGTTTTGTGGCAGTGCAAACCTTCGGGGAGGGAGAAGGGGAGGAGGCAAGGCGAGAAAGCTTAGCGTGGATGAAGATCACGAAACAGCGTGCGACTAGATATTGTGGATGAAAATCACCCGAGGTGTGAAGTGGAGAACAACATGCCACTCACGGAAGGGCGGGACTCTTCGTCTGGAAGATGCAAGATAGCCCTGACGAAGCAAAGATATTCTGCCTCTTCCAATCGCTGTCCTCGACAACTGCTGTTTTCGGTGCTGTCGCCTGTCGCTGCAATGATGCCGGTATCAGCGGCGTTCTCCTCGTGTACGACCCCTTCAGGTGCAGTTTCGGGAATACTATCGCCGAACCAACGAAACGTGCGAATGCGGCGAATATGTACAAGGTGGAGTTACAGCGGCAAAGTAGAAAAGACACATCTCGTACGGACCATAGAAGGCTTTGCTTTTGCATACGCTATCGATTTCATCCATGACTCCTCCATGAGTCCCTTCTTCTGCTTCCGGTGAGAATCCAACTCCTTCGATTGTCCAAGACCAATTTCGTAGTGCCCACCGCAACACTGAAAGATACGTCAATCGAGGGATATCTGCACACGACATCACAAACAAAGCATACTAGGATTCGAATCCGTTCTGTTGCACATGTTTGTTGTCGTAAGGAGCATATATCACCCTCTCTCGATGGGCTGCTTTCATATTTTCGGGGGAAAACGTATTCCGCAGTACCCTTCGAGGGTTGAGTACAATAATAATTGAGAGCGCCTCGGGGTGTTCTCCGAGGGAACTATATTCCTGCAAAGAATAACAAGGTCCCACGAGGCGAGAATTCCCGGGGTGTTGGTCACTTTTCATCTCTTCTGGGCTCCCTCTCGACACTCCGGCACGCAGATTTGCTGCGGCCGTGGAGCCACGACGTTGGGCCTGATCAACATCTTCATAATTCAATAAATTCAATAATGACAACAACAAAGACATCACGCTGAAGAAAATGGTGCCTTGGGTTTCTGGAAACGCCTTGTTGGACCCCCAGCACACACCACACACAACGCCAAGAAAAACTGCCTTGTGAGATTTCAGAGTTCGCCGTCGGGTGAAGTAGGTAGGGGTTAGGAGATACGATGGGCCCGGGTAGTTCTCTTACCAGAAGTATTTGAAGTATTGCGGCATGTCTGACTTGACCTCTTGGGGAGGTATAAAGTGACTGAAACAATGCGTGTTGATTAGTTGACATGATACCTGCTTTCAGGTGACCCCCCACCACTACCCGCCCCTCCATCTGATGGATCGGCGGAAACGGGTGATGATTCCGGTTGGCCGATGGGTTTTGGGCATTCTCCCACCACTCTGAATGATCGCCTGAATAGAATTTTCCATTCTCCTGGCCTGCGGAGCATCGACAAAGACCAATTGAAACGAAGTAATAAACCAAGTGCCCAACCAAAGAATGACGGGTGCTGCTCTCACAACTCAAAACTAAATGTGGTGATGGGTTAGCAGCGTATTTGCGCCGTTTTTTTTCGGTCGTTTGCGATAAACTTGCCAAACCAGCCGTATCCAGCCCCAAGGCTATTAGGATATCTGCGGAGACGAGATGCCAACAGCTAAGGCCCTAACAACGAACTATCAGGACGATCGATTCTGGAGCAGAAAGAGTCTGGAGGGACAGTAGGTGCTGCTATGGCGATACAAAACTTGCTGGTATTCTCGTTCGCGATATCTAGCATGATCAAAATAATACCCAAAAAGCAGAATGATGAAAAGGGTGATTATGGAGAAATCTCGTCGAGAGAGAGCTTTTCTCGCGCTTGACGGCCGGGTTTCGCATCCTGTCCCTTCGCCCGCATTGTTACGACTGCTACGATACATCATGAAAACATTGTCGAGGAACTAAAGCCTGTTCACCAACCAATACGTAGCTTCCCCCTTCCTTCATGAAGAACCTGCGGTAGCTTTCCTTTCGTGTCTCCAGAGTGTTAAGTTATTCCCTTGGGCCACGGAAGGCCCTGTCTAGCAGTATCTGTCTAGAAAGCAGAGTCTGGAGAAATTTTCAATACTCCTAGATGCATATCACATACCAGCACAACAAGGAAACCAATTCAGAGACAATAGACATACTTCTATAAAACATTTCTTCTGTAGTCCAGCTCACCTCGCGCCGTCATACTTGCCAGTCTCCGTAACCTGATTGTACCCGGCTTCTTCCCAGACCTGACCCGCGTCCCCGGTCTCGATCGCATGCGTGCAGAAAAACCCGATGCAGCACCCAAGGCCTGGCTGCAGCAGGACCCGAAACACTCTCGGTGCTCCTCCTTTCACGAGTCGGATCTGTCTGGGTGGAAGTCGGTCACGGCTTAATCATCAATCTGCCAGTGGGTCTCCTAATCCGGGGACCTCCCCAATTGCTGACCGGCTACTACCACAGCCGGTCTCATGTCCTTTTTCTTGAAGCCAGAGTGTTCGTCATGCCTGCACTGAATTCTATGTTCGATACTCTGAGGATGACTTGATGATACAGAGTAACCCATATTCACACACGTTTTGTGTTTTTGTCCTACTACAATTGACGCACTTCTTTGGTCAGTCGGTTAGAGCTATCGGTGCTTGTGAAAGCAGTGTCCAACTCACCTTGGCTGACTTGGCCGTGAATGGAAGACCGTTGGGCTCCAGGTCATGTTTCACGCGCATGATCAGTCGACCACCGGGAACGGGCTTGAAAGATTCAGCAGAGGTGTGGAGACCCTAACAAGATTGTTTCAGGACGAGGGGGTGAGGGTGTCAGCATGGAGCTTGCGCCACAGCGATGATGTTTTTTTAAGCGGGGGTTGGAACGACATGCGAGAGGGCGGGAGGACGGGAGAGGGGAGGGGAGGATAGTCACGTGCATCCTACCCGAGACTCGAGGTTGTTTGCCACACAATCTCGGTCGTACCGGGCACCACTACGCGTTCTTCAAGCGATCGATGGCCAATATCCTAGTTTCTGCGTTCTATGTTGTGCGGACAGTTCTGTTTCGAAGCTTTCAGGACCACCACGTATCTCACGCGAAATATATCGCTACATGTGTTGATGAACCTGTAATAGAGTGTTTTGCCACCGTCTTAGATCATTTAGATCCACTAACAGAAAGGCGGAAGGGGCACTCACATGTTAGCCATAGAATTCGCGATTCCATCAAACGACGACTGATCCGTTACAACCAATAATTTGACAGAGTGACCAGTGTGTCTTCAGGCTTTCGTGTCAACTCTAACGTCTTCCAACCAACGTCTATCCGAGCTTGGCAGCAGTGGAGTTTGGAACCCTGCTGAAGCTGTCCATTCAGTTTCAGCCGCAACTGTTTCTCATCCAAGCAATGGGATCCGTAAGCAAACATGAACACCATCCGGAAACGTTGGAGGCCCATGACAGAAAATAAATAACGGCAAACTCACTTCGGGCACCCCGGGCAGCACTTCTTGGAGCGCCACCATAGCACTAGCGTTCCAGTCCGCCTTTTTGGTGGTTATGTCGGCACCTGGCTGGTCAGCCCACAGGTTCATCAGGACTTCGGCTTCCTCTTCCTCCTCTGCCTCCTCTTCCTCCTCCAGTCTTTCTCCACTGCTACGTTGTACTCCACAGCCAGCACTCATCTCAGGAGGGCTCTCTACTACCCCGCCGCGTGACATTTCTGACACCGCGGATGCAACAGCACCTGCTGCTGCTGTTGGTGGTGGTGGACCTTCCCCTAGAAGCTCGCCCGTTTCTTCATTGCGTCTGTGGCTGTCCATTTCGTTTTCAGTTTTGCTATCCCCGGGTTCAGGTTCCCTTTCTTGAGCTATTGTTTTCTCGCCGTCTGGTGCGTCTCGATCGGCGGATTGCCTCATGCTGCTTGCGGTGGTGGTGATTTTCGGTGCGGACCTGAGAGACAAAACAGGGAACGGATGACAGGACACGAGGGTGGGAGCCGAACGCTAGATGGCTGAAAATCGTTGCGTCAACCAGTGTGATACCTGGCACTCTTCTTTTTCCGTGTAGGCCCGGAGGTTGTTTGTGATTGAGTCTACCGTCTACTTCCGTTCGAGTCACTTGTGAATATGGAAAGAGGTTACTCCTCGGGAAATCTGCGTCGGTGGGAGACATTCTGGGATCGATTCGCCTGTAGGCAATGGGTATCAACACACGAGTGCAGGAATTGCAGGCGCGCTGTCTCGCGGGAAGAGACGGATGCTAAAGAAGCGCAGGGGACCCGGCATGCTGAACAGCAGCTGGCGATATCGGTTCTTTCCGGCGCTTGTCACCGCCGCGCGAGCACTTACCGCACACGAGCTTGGTACATGTGTGCCTAGCAATAGCTCTGATAAGAGATCCATGGTTAGAGGTTCAGAGGCCCAGCAATTTAGCAGCTCCTCAAAATGGTTCGAGAGAGCTGCATTTAAAGTCTTGCACATGCTCTCTAACTTTGCATGGGAATCACTGCATATCTTGCCTCTCTCGGGCACCCAAATGTCCCAACATGATTATGGTACTCGTGAAACTAGAAAAATGTCGTTTCGACACCTGTTCGCATTGAGAGGTAGGTCATTCCATCACAAGTTCTCCAGGTAGGTTGCATGGTCTTGAGAAGCACATACAGCAGGAACCGTTTAATCCTCAGAGAAGCGCGAAACGCTATTAATAATCTTGCAGCCTCCCAGAGGACAAAACACAAATTGGTGTTGTGTCTGACCTTGGTGAAGGGGTTATGACGAGGAAGATGGGGGGAGGGCTGCCGGGGTCGCGAGCCTGCATCCCCTCCAGCCCCTTCGGTACGGGAATACCTCGAGCGATGGCCGTACCCGAAGCCGAGCGTTCCGCTTCAGGGGTGGAATTTTCTCCGGCAAGAAGTGCTGATGAAGACGAACTTGACGATGAAAGAAGCCTTTCCCCAGACGTACTCCTCGCTAGCCCGGAATGGAGGCACAGGTTTTCAAGGGGTTTGACAAGGATACGGGGGCGTCGTACCAAGTGTGAGGAAGTAGGCTGGTTCAACGGGGGGATCGGAAAGGGGCGAGTAGCGGGTAGAATGCACGGATGAAAAATGAAGAGGGCTGTGCGTGAGTGAGTAGAACGACCAATGAGTAGCGCTCATTCGTCGAAAGCTAAAGGTGAGCGGTTGATTGGCGATAGGTGATTATCAGCACCCGGTCGAAGACCTATTTCACCAACATACGTTGTTTTAGTGGCCAAGGCGTCGTGAAACGGGTCAGGTCTTTTTTTGTTTGGGCAAAGGAGCTACAGAACCACGACACCTCAGGGGATGACCAACTAGCATTACTTTAGTCAGGGTACAGATAGGGCACCTTCGAGAAAAAGGATTCGCTCACGCACATTGACCGCCAGATATTGACGCAAGTCGCTGAGAGATCACGAAAAGTTCAAGAGTAGATTATCAGACTTGTAGTGCATGACAATAAAAGGGTAGTCCAACGAAACCATCTCGTAAATCGTGGTATGCTGCCTATTGTGGCAGGCACGACAACCTTGAATGAACTCCATGGTTTCACGTTGTGAGAGTACCACGTGGAACGACATATTTTTTTACGAACGATAGGGAGCCAGTGATCCGGAGTGAATACCATCGCCTGGCCGCCTAGTGGTCCTTGTCCAAGGCCTTCTCCTTCCCGACACATTTGTTCATCACCACCACCATCAACAGAGAGTCACGGCAGCACGGTAGCTGCTTGTTGCCAGCGGTCTTACCCTGGGTTCCTTTCCCCTTGGCCGTCTTGCTGTCCTTGGCCGGGGTTTTGGTTTTCGCCTTGTTTTTCGTCTCCTTGCTGCCCGTTTTTTCGCTTGCCGAGTTTGGGGCATCCAACACCTCGCTAGGCGTTGCTGCGAAACGAATGGAGTGACGACTTAAAACTCAAAATGATCAGATGCATCGCGGGGACTTTCAATGTTGCAGATAGCACACGCCGGCAATAAGAGGGGCAAGGAGGAACCGCAGGGTAGGGGTAATTTTTCCGCAAGTGCAGTCCTACTGTAGCACGAACCACAGCAATAGCTGGGAAATAGGAGAGCGACAAGCACAAGAACATATTTTAACAAAAAAAAATAAAGCAATATTTGTATTTCTTGTGTCTTCTCACCCAGTTTCCAGTGATACTGAATGTCAGCGTAGGCCTTCTTGTCCACCTTGGTGAGCGCTCTTACAACCATGCCCCCAGCCAGCTCTATCTGACGCGGCAACAGCCATAAGTACTCTGGCTTTGACAGCGACGTCGCGGGACTTGTCGCCTCAGAACGGTCTGTCGCGTTCCTGCCGTTGCCGTGGTCTCGCCGCCGCCGCCCGCTGCCGTACAGAACCCGATTTTTCGCCTCCCCATCCCTCGGATCCGAAACTCCCGCACCCATATCTCTCGGAACCACTTCTGATTCCGGCTCTCCTATAACTTCTGCTGGTTCTGCTGCTACGGTTTCTTCGGCTGCGCCACTTCTCTGACCACTCTCTGTTCCATTTTGGTGTGAATTTGTGGGTGTTTCCCATTTAAGCAGGAATCCTAAGGGGAGGGTTGCACCTTCACCGTCCTTCATCGTTTCCATGGTTGCCAATGGTGATGAAGATGGCTGATGCGGTTGCTGCTTTTGTTCGATGACGGAGCCGTGTATGTCATCCCATGCCATTTCGTGCGAACAGCATGCGGGGAGAGGGAGGGGGGGAGGGTGGTCCTGAGAACGGATTAATTCAATAAAAAAAAAATGAAAGGTGTCAGAGATCCAAAATATTAAGACAGAGAGCACCAAAACATCGAAAAATACCGTCGTTGTCGACAAAAGGTGGTTGTCAACTATCACACCCTGCTAAGTTATCTACCCTTGTCCTTATCGTCGGTTCCCCAAAATTAGTGCCGGGAAACAAATATACTGCAGTAGGCCTGGCAAGCCGTCACCACTCCGTAACCCGACACACGCCTGCAGTATCAATTTTTCAAGAGAAGCACGCTCAACCAATCAAATAATTTTCTTGTCAGCAAGTCCAATCAGTCACTTCGTCCACCACTCACTTGGTCGCTACCGTCTGCCTGGAGCGACCTGCTGCTCGTCCCAACACCAGCGGTTGCAATAACTGTGGACTCCGCCCCTACTGGCTCCAAGTTCTGGTGCTTAAGAAAAGCTGACGAGGTGGTGGTTCCACTTTGACATACGGAAGTGGTATCTGCTGGCGGGACTTGGGGGCAGACGGCTAGGACCGGCCTCGCCGGCTCTCCCGGCATGCACACAACGTAGACCTGGGAATTGGCGACAACGCGGTTCGAATGTACATCTTGTTGTGCTATCGACCTCCGACGGAAGGCACGCAAGCACCGCGCAAGAAAAGGATGACCTTGGAGTACCTCAGGAGAAAGAATCCTTTGTCGTTCTGTGCGTCTCTATATATCAGAGAAAATGTTATCGAGGACGGGCTACAGACCTCGCGGCGGTCCCCTGCGAGAACTTTGGCAGATACAGCGTTCATTTTCCGCAGGCGGGCAGAGTCCACCTCTGCGTACTCTTCCATGGAGACGACCTGAGGCAAGAGGCGGGCATGGACGTGGTAGATACAGTTGGGGGGGGGGGAGGGGGGAGGGGGGTACTCAAAGCCGTGCATGCCGTAGTCGTTATACCTTGACCTCGCATCCCTACAAAGCCGGGACGGAGCACGCCGGGTTCTCACCGGACTAGGCTCTCACATCACCATGCGCGAAGCACCGTGAAGTATTCGGCGAGGCGCATGAAGGGTGCCCTCCATCCTGCTAAGGGTGTTCGGCATCTTGTGCTTACTTCCTTGCGTACGGATGACAGCTGCATATGACTTAATTTATTTTCTGGATCTTTCACTTCCAGAGAAGTGGAGGGGCAGTTAAGGATCGCTTCGGTCGGAACGATCTTCTGGTGACGGCACAGACGGGTGCATAGAAGACACATAAAGAAGCGATGGCGATGGTGTCGTGCGTAGTGTTTAGGCAATGGTGTTGAACTCGCCTTTCTTTCTACTTTTCGGGGTCGTCGCTTCTTGTGCAAGAAAAGAGCTTGCCGTCTTCTCCTTTCTTCCAAGCGCTCGCGAGCAGCTTCTGCCTGAACAAAGCACATCACAGCAGTAGCAGTAACAGCATGTCACAATAGGCAGATCGCCTGAAATTTAGCTTTCGGATATTTCGGTGAGCGGGAGAGCCCAAGAACGTGACTGTGTGTTGGTACCAGCACAACGGCGCTGCTGCTGCCCATCCCATCACGGCTTCCCTTCCCTGTCACCCCAAATTCGTGCTTCCAAGCACATCTCTTGAGGAACCACCCCTTGTCGCTGAATACTCAGCTACGCAGAGGCACCGTGTTCAGATTGATAGAAATGCCTCGGGGTGGGAAGGAGGGGTGTTGATATCAAGTTGTAGCGACGAAAGCATATCTGAGACCTTTCATTTCGCCCTTGGAAGAGCTGAAAGGCACAGTCTGTTGGGGGGCGCCCCCTCTACCAGAAAATTACAGGGATCCAATGTACTGGGGAAAAACGGACCTCTTCATCCACGGGAGGGAGAGCAGGAAGACGGAGGTCACTGGGGGTAAGGGTTGGCGTCATTCCGTGTACCAGAGCCACCTCGGCGCTAACTCCTGTAGTGATTGAAGGAACCCACCCTGCTTCGTCAAGCAAGACAGGATTCAAATGGCAAGATTGGCGTTCAATGAGCTTTTCTATATTTCTTGACAATGCAAGGAGTCATCGAAAAGATCGTATCGAGTACGCCGACATATTGTAGGTCATCTAGGCGGTCGAACACATGTTCCCTTCTTCTGTATGCAGCTTGATTCTTGAAAACGATTCGGACAGAAAACCGGTGTACCTCCTCCGTCTTGAATCATCTAAGGCAATCGCTGCTTTACCAACGCATACTGTCAGAGTAGTTGCGCCCATCGACCACAAGACCTTCCATAATTTCGATCAGTTGTCGAGGGGGTGGTCTCGTACATTGTCGACCCCCTCTGATGAACCGGGTGCAGCTCAATGCTTGCACCGTCAAAAGAAACACCCACACCCACCACGACTATTGCCTCAGAAGCACATCTCCTACTGCAGCATCAGCAAACGGAAGAGTAAAATGCATATCTTCCTCCCCACCGAGAACCTACCGCTCGAGCGAGCAACCAACGACGAACTCGCCTGCAAGACTGTGAAGCACGAAAGCAACAAACCGTGCTCGATCTCGTTCGTCTCCATCTTCGCCATCGACGCCACCAACGCTACCGCCACCTGCCTCATCTCTGCCACCCGTGACGCTCATTGAACCAGAGGGCTCTTCCGGGGCTACTGAATTAGCAGCAGCAGCAGCGGTGGCGGCGGCGGCGGAAGCATTGGTCGATTCCTTCACGCGTTCATAACCTCCCAGCCGATACAGTTTGTACAGAGCCTGAGACAGAAAGGCAAGCACACATGAAAGACGGAACAGATTTGACACGTGTACGCAGCGAGCTGTTGAACTACCACCCACAAAGACATGGCGGCGAAAGTGTTTCGTGTGAGACTGACTGCTTTGGTTCTCATGTCAGAACCAAGCACGCAGCTGCTACCAATGCTCTCTCGAGAGTGCTAGTTTGTACCGTTCATGCATCCTTCCTCTTTGGTAATGCAGCTGATACCAAAACCTGTCCCCCCGACGAGGGAGGTCACTCCTTGTCTCACGTTGACGTAACAATTCGGTCTCCCGAGGGCGAAGCAACGTGCTACCTCTAGGGAATCTGCCCGAGGCAAGAGCAGCTCGCGAGGGGCGGGCGCCGTGTACGAACTTTGACGTTCATAGATTATTCATATGGCTCATTCTATGGGTTATCTCCCTGTCGAAAAACGAAGGGCCACCTCGATGAAGAAGCCCAGAGCAACGTGTTTGCAGTTCGTGGCACCCTGTTGGCAATATTCAATATACTACGTGCGAACGGTTCTCACCTTCGAAAGCAGGAGGGGCCACAACTCCAACGGGTCCTCGCTGGCAGCGATAACCTGGCGCGAATGGCAGCGGGAATACACTTGTGTTTTTCTGTGCTGTTTCTCAAAAGACATCTTGCATCGTACGAATGGAGTGCTGAATCTCACGACTTCCTTTTCTACTCTCGTCTGGTTAAGATTTGGGACACGATTGTTGCATTTTGAATGGGGTGACGCCCATGTAGAACTAGTGCGAAGGGGAGCACGTGGAATTTAAGCATCATGACCAGAGCCGCGGGTGTGGTCGATGGAAAACCGGCAACTATTATAGTTTTAAGAAGATCACCACCATACCCTATCGTATTTCTTCCACCTCAACCATCTTCCCGAAATTAGCGAGCACAATGTTTTCGTATTCCCAACCTCAACGTCTCGGTACGGGACCGATTCTGAAACACCAGCTAACAATAATGATGGATTTCTTGGAGACCACACGCTTGCGTGCAACTGAATGAACGCACCGGACGCCCTGTCGCATCAAGTGGGATAGAGTCGTCTACCTCCACCCTCCTCCAACGCCCAGCGGCGAACAGCTTGATGAGGTATCGTCCACAGGGGTTGTAGCACGGCACCTTGAATGACGACGACAAGACGACAAGACGACAAAAGAAAGAACGCCGCGAACGAAAAATTACGCATCCGTGTCGACCGCAGCGAATAGACAGACATGTGCACACCATCATCTAACGTTCAGCAGGGGGAAATCAAGGCGAACGCGTCGAAATCATCTACCGTCTACTAACCCGCAGTAACTGAGCCAGAAAAGTAGAGCAGATATGACCCCGTACAAGCATCACTATTGACTTGCGATTTCTCCCTCACATTTGCCAGGCAGCTACGTACGAAGTTTGTATTTTGAGGTGGTTCGCAGATGATCTAAAGCACATGTACATTACTAGCGACCGTCACGGCATGACCGTAGTATCGTCCGTTCTCACATCCAAGTAACCCAAGCACCAACCTCATTCGCCGTCTTGGGGTAGATGGTCTCCCACAGCAGCGGACATCCTGTGCTAGAAACAGTCGAGGACAACTGGTCGATCGCCTTTTAGACAATAGCACAGCAACACGCACACGATGGCACCACGCCAATCGGGACCAAAAGAGATGGGGTAGGGTGGGGGGGTTACTTGCTGCTTCTTCATCACCTAACTGGTTGATTGTTGGTCTGGCATCGCTTTGACGGGGGGGGATACTCACTTTCAGCATACCATACTCATCACACCAAAAGACCTCACATCCACACACAGCCATGACGGAGCACGCCTGGTTTTCATCAAACCTGGTTTGCATTTACCTAGCGCGAAGAGCCGGGACGTGTTGGGCGAGTCGCACTAGGGGAGAGTTGAATCCTTCTAAGATAACATTCCGTCCAAAGCGGACTACCTGGTAAAAAGGTTGACCGTGCATATCATGGCACCCCCGAAAGAGTAAGGGTTGCCTTGTACTATGATGGTCACTTCCAGAGGCACGCACGGGTTACACAGGGTCATGGTTGTTTCGTACCATTCCAAAACCACGTGGTACGGTCATCCACTCGGCGTCAGGTTGTTTTACAACGTCATTGCCAACCAACGCCAACGCTGGTTACAGGATTGGGGGGGGGGAGGAAGGAGTATATCCGTTGTCGCGCGCTCGCACCCCTACACTTTCAGGAATAATTGTGTTGTAACGAATGCGTGGGCATGTACGAAGGAGTACTCAAAAGACCAGAAGGAGCACGTTCATTCATGCACCCTACTGAACATCGCCGTGCCTTGAAAATGGCCGTCATTGCGGGATCGATGTCACCACCGCTTGGTGCACCCAGCGTCGCGATATCTTCGTCCCTCAGGTAAGCAGGGGGCTCCTTGGACCAGTCCCCTGACGTCCCTTCTTCTTCTCTGTGGTGACGCTCCACAGCTGCCTCTGGAGGGGTTTCTTTCTCAGTAATGGTAGCCGCGGCATCACCTGACGTTTCAGGCGGTAGATGCTCCTGCTGCTGATGCTGCTGCTGGTTGTACTTGCATAGCAGGGAAGCTATATCTCGTCGCTGGCTTTCGCTCCACCCAGTCTTGAAACCTCGTGGCAACGTCGCGTTAGGCACACTTGATTGTTTCGCAACCTGGTTGTCGTTGGCGTCAAGGTTGAATAAGGGTAGTCAATCATCGAGGAGGGGAGAGTGGTAAACGGGCTTTGCTGTTCCTTGTTGACTTACAACCTCGAGCGTAGGCGTTCATAAAGGTAAAGCGTACGTAGTGTGCATTAGGTTTGAGGCCTGACGCCGTGCGATTAGGTTTCCGCGGTGTGATATTGGTATTGTTGTTGATGCTTGAGAGGGTGTTCAGAGGTCGTCTCAGGCCTTCAGCCTTTTGGTGGTGGTAGGAGAGTGGGGTTGAGGTATTGAAGCATCCTTTTGATACCAAGCGTAAAATAATGTACTGGTCAGCTGTTTGTTAAGAGAGAAACCGCCAGAATCGATCCTCTCTCTCTCTTCCGTATGGCCCCAATCGCAGCTCTTTGATTGAGAAAAATAAGACCAAAGAATACATGGATAGATGAGATGAGGGAAAAGACCAGCACGCAATTTAGGAGCATATTGGAACGCGTTTTTTGCTTTTTACCCTGACAACCTGGAGACAGCTCGTTTTACGGTCGATGCTACCCGTGGTTAAACATATCAGCACACGCTCACCTTGGGACTGCATTCGTCACACCCCACACAACGTAGAACAGTGACCGCTAAAATGAATAACAGAGAGGCTTACAAGCCCGACCCCTTGCCAGCTCACGAAGGCTGGAAACGACGAAAGAAAACACAGTTTGATCACATGCATGTGCCACTTCTTCAACCGATACCTCTCGGTCCCCGGCGTGTGGAGCGTCGGACGAGGCCACCGGCGCATCTACCTCTTCCTGAGGAGCACCAAACATCGATCGTGAAACAAGGAATCAGTTGGCGTTGGAAGTTGTGAAACAATATCATTATTGTGTCAAGGTACTTTTCTTGCCCTTCAAGGGCTTGGATTAAGTAATGGTGCTCGTGGAATGGACTACCTGCCATCGTGGAGTTTGGCATGGACCGACTCGGCAGGCAGAATCAAGCTGACTTCCTCGCACAAAGTAAAGGTGTTTTACCTGGCTAAGAGTTTGGGCTCCTTCATCTGTTGCGCTATCATTTGCGACGATAGCTGCCCTCGGTACGAAAATCCTGGGGAGAGGGTTCCCTTGCAGGTCCACTGCGACATCTTCCAGAACGACGGGTTCGACGCTCGGCCCCTTATCTTTCCCCTGGCATCATGTTTCGACGGCACGCAAAACGTCGTACTGCCATGTTCATTTTGGGCGACAAAGAAACCAGGTTTGTTCCTCGTTGTGCATCGCGATTTTGTATTCAGGTACACATGCAACTGTAGCCCGAACCTCCGTTGATATCGATTTTGTGGCCGTCTTGTCGATCACGATCGCGGACCACAAATCACCTTCGGTGACTTCCCCTTTCCTTTGTCCGCTCCACCGCCTGCTTTTCCCTTTTCCACGCCACTGGCGGTGCCATTACCACCGACGGCACCGCTGCTGTGTTGTTGGTGCTCCTCCTTTCCATCCTCTCCTGAATCAAGGAAAGACGAGGACAGGGCCACCATATTATCAAGGAAAAAATTTAGCTTGAAGCTGCGCAACTGCAGCCTGTTTGTTGCGTTCAGGAACCAACCACCAATAGGCTTGAAACCGACGGAAATCCATGTAATACCGCATGCGGAAGCATGGATGTTGTTCTTGCTTTGCCTTGCTCCTCGAGACTGGACTTGAGTGAGACACACAACCGGAAGAAAGCCACATCCTTGAACAGAGAATCATCACTCAACAGCCGAGCTGACACGAAATTTTCATGGCAATCGGACAGTCAAAGGGTCAATGGACTCCACCGGTCGTTGGGCCCCCACCGGTTGCTTGCCGGTCGACACTGCAAGGTTCATATGAGCAAGCGTAGAGCTTATTTGACAAATCAAGATACTACAGCAACCATTTACCAAAACCCCAATCGATACGGCGCCCCTTCGCTAATCCCTCCCCCCTCACCCTCGGTGACTTTCATCCGAAATTCACGAAGTGACCTTACCGGTCTCGTTGGTGAGAAGTTCTGTTGGCCTGACCCAACGGGCTACCCTTGCAGATATCCTCGCGGGTAAGAAGGAACGGCCATCCTTGTCCTCAAAAGGCTCCGCCCTGACCATGCCCCACTCCATCTCGACTGATGGCATGAACGCAGTCGTGATCGATCCGATCCGAAGTCACCAGTGAGGAAAAGGAAAGGGCAGGTAACAAAATGGTCATCGATCGGCTGATAACTGCATTATTCGTGGTCGGGCAAATTCCAACACGAGATTTTTCATGTGGCTTTGAGGGTTCAGCTACAATATGCCCTTTTGCTTTGAGCGGGGCGTTTGTGCTGCTCTGATCAGGAAAATTGAGAAAGGGAATAGTACCAGCCGCGACACCAAAAACAACGCAATAATGTGTGTAGAGGATGTCGTAGGCCCCACTTCATTGCCCCGGCAGGCTTTAGTTCTCCAACGCGTTGAGATCGACCACGTGAAAACAGGCACGACTCAGACCCGAGTCGACCCTACATCATCACACGAACAGATTCATCAAACAAGCCATTGAACTCTTCGACGTATCAGATCATGTACCAAGAAATAAACACAACACTCACGTAGAGCATCGTCGTCCCATTCCTCAAACGCGTGGTGTGCCGAGACCACCGGGAGTTCCCTGCGCGGCGGTGGCCTTGCGTCGCACGGCTCTGCACTAGCCAAAGGCCTGATCCGCAGGTAGTATGGTGGAAAAAGTTATGGACTACGAGTGCCATTTGAGGTTTGAACATCAGGTACGGGCGAAGTCTAAGAAGATGTGAGTATACACGAGAGGATCACATCCTCATCGTCAAACGTCGTAGTGATTCTTTCTTATCGGGATTGTCATTCTTTCATGTGGTTTCCCGGACCGGTATTGTTTGCCGGAGGTTGGTCCGTGTTACCTCTTCGAATAACTGTGTCATTCATGGTGACAGACATGGTCAACTTGATCCACGGCAAAAATGGGACACCAAGCTGTCGTCAATGAAATACTTGGCCAGTGTCGAATGACTACAGACACGACGGACTAATTTAATGGAAACAACAAATACGAAAAGAAGTGCTTCATTTCCCCGGAAAAGAAACCGTTATTTCGGACGAAACACGCCATTGAGCACGAGAACGCCGCAAGACCTGCGTCCTTACAATGCAGTCATTCGCTTCTTTCCCGGCACTGTACACATACACACGCCCAGGCAAAGAAAGGCATAAACCAAGCGCCTCTTACATCTCCAGGCAACTGTGTAAGTCACAGCCAGGTTGTTAAGGTTCTTGAGGGTAATGTTACTTTTAGAAACAATGGAGGCAACATGACGACAGCAGCACTATAGAAACGTGTTGGGCATGAGGTGTGGCTCAGTCGCGAGAATCTCCAGCTTCCTTTGTCCCAACGCCTCAACCCTCAGTCACCTTAGAGGGCACATGGCCTCGAAGCGGTGTGATTGGACGATGTTTGCATACACTCGATAGAATACCTTCGTGTATAGTCTATTCCCACAGGCAGGACCTCCTGCTTCCCCTTCTTGTCCTTGGCCTTGGGAGGCATCTTCTGCGCTTCTCGGCCACGGGCTGTGTGTCAAAATGCGATATAGGTAACGAGGACCGTTTGCGCGTTTACGGTTTATTATTGGTCTGTTCGCTGAAAAAAATGAGGCAAAAAAAAACCAATCTAAAATATAAGACAGACAAACGCCTGCTAAACCTCGGGGAGCACCACCACAACCAAACCGTTCACTAACTGGGGCGGGAGGGCTGGGGTGTGTCTTGTTTTTGCACTGAGAAGGTACCAAGGCGAAATATGTGTACTGTAGTCTGTAGTATTGTAGACGCTCGGGGCTGTGGAGTACGTCCGACAGGAAATGAGACCGAGGGACCCCGCTCCCTCAACGAGTCTAATGTATGGTGGTATCCCCGATTCAATGTCACCCCGCGGTACGTGTGCTACTTGTAGTCTATTTAGTGTATGCCCGTGGGGATCTGGGTGTCTATTTGTACACCACCGCCAAACACGACTGCTGTGTCTACTTTCTTCTACGATTCAACTGCCAAACATGTGCATGCAGCAGATCTTAAGAACACTACGAAAACACAAGACAGGTGTAGTCAAGATCTGAAGCACCAGTTCGCCATCAGGCAACAGCACAACAGCAGTAGGTATCTTGGCGGCAACATCTCTGATGTTGAAGATTTGCAACATTGTATGTACTACTGCTGTAGAGTGTACCCATTTCCGCCAAAATCCTACGCCGATGTCAGACAGAAACCTGTCTGGGTGATAGAAATTGACCAAAACCAACTCACCAGCACACAGCCAATGCTGGCCCCGGCTTCCCAAACGTACTTTCCTCTATAAGACCCCAGCTCGAACGTCCGACTGTGACGTGACGTTATGGCAGCACCCTGGGCCCGCTTCCCCGTCATGCTGGTTTCGGGTTTTTGTCGGATTTGGTCGGTTACAAAATGCCAGCAAATCCCCCACCCCCCCCCGCGCATTTGTGCATGCATGTGCCCCCCTCTCCCACTGCAACAGAGTAGTAGACAGTAGAGCGCAACGCACAGACGTACAGACGGAGGACGGAAAGCGGTGGGTCTAGCCACAGATAAAGCCAGGGAGAACAGCAGTATACACCATCGTTCTGGGTGAGAAGTGGAAGAAGACTGTTGATGTTTGGGGAACGGTATTTCAAGTAGGGCGGAAACAATCTAATAGATGTCAATTACCCCGACGGAGTGTGTTGCTCCCACAATGCTACAGAAGACTATCACACTACTGTAGGCTAGACTACTGCCGTTGCACGATATGTGCTACCTGGTTGCTGTTGGCGCAGAGCCCTCGGCGGTGGGACGATCGACAGTAGCGATGCATTTGCTTTCAGAGCACGTCGGGCGGTGCTTTTCGGTCGGGTCATTGCAGTTGGTTGGCGACCTTTACCTCTGAAATTCACTATGCATATAATGCATAGGAACAGCACCTCCTGTATCCTGTTATTTAGGCAGGTTGAGATTCTCGACCCAAACCCGTGCGCTTTGGAGTGCGACAGCATCAGGAGGACAAACAGCAGAGCGCCAAAGGCTCTAAATCTTCATCTTTCTTACCATTCACCTTTTGGGAAACGCTCGGCGTTGTTCGTGGCCGCCTTGGCGTTCCCCCTGGTATGTTTTAGCCCATGGCAACACATGAACGGATGAACGGCGATTGTACAGCAGGCTGGTCGCTCCTGACTGCTGTGTACCGTACGTTGCATTAGATACCACACCAGTGTGACAACATTTTTTGGGGTACCAAAGTTACCACGTGGTGGTATTCTGTAGGGGGGGGTGATATCTTACGCCACCCTTGTGACAAAGTGCACTCACAGCAGTACCCCGTCTACTGTACAGAGGGTGTGAAATGGGGTGTGATACCGTCGCCCGAATGATGAAGCGCTCTCACATGCCCCGGCCTACAGGGGTGTGTGACAAGGATGGGGTGTGATTACGTCGCCCGTGTGATGAAGTGCGCTCAAAGCAGGAACCCGGGTACAGGGTGTGATGAAAGGGATAAAACGGGTTAGCTGTAAGATTATGTTGTGCGGGTCTCAGCAGTACATGATAGTGTCGTGCACGGCTGCTGAGGGAGTCGTCTCAGCAGGGGCACACGCTTCCCCGCGGCGGGGCTTTCAGCAGGGTTGTTAACTGCACCCCCCTCCATGGTATTGTCGACCTCCATGGCGTTTGCGCACATGTCGCTTCGCTTGTGTGCTTGTGATAACGTGTTGTCACGTTGTCGCACCATGTGATACGCGGGGGCTCCATCGATAGTATGCGGCTCAACCTTAGGGGGGGTGGTATCTTGTGTCACCGTGTGATAAATGACGTTTTGTTGGGGGCTCAAAAAAATAGCACACGGGTGTGGTATTGTGTAGTTTTTCGAAGGAGGTATAGTATCTTATATGTGTGTGATATCTGATGCAACCTACGGCATGTATGTTTGCGTACGATTGCTGCCATTCGCGCTCAGACCCCAGTGTTGTTTCTTATGGACGGTGTACGCAGCACAGAACATAAAACTGAACAGATTGAATCGCTCGACCAAGGGACTCCAACTATAATAGAGGTGAATCGAGCGACAGCCATGAGGACTGCTGTAGGCTCCGATCTACTTAGCGGCGGCAACAGGATCGTGAATGATTTGTAATGTGTACCTAGAATATGCAGATATATGCACGCGCGTGTGGTAGCTCGCGGGTGTTTCGCACCCATTGCAGCCACCGCAGTACATAGGGTGCGAGAGAAAGAAAGGACTGGATGATTTACACGGTTGCCGCGTGGGTACCAGTGGCATCGCACAGGGGCAACGGATAAACCCTGAACCGGATTTATCTCACCCCCGTTGATCCTCGCCAACCCCGCGCTTCTGGAGTAAGTAAGATGCCACGGTTGGCTGCGGATGGCTTTTTTCGCTGAAATGATACCATTTGCAGTATTTTTGTATACGGCATTAGGTACCGTCGGGGCGCCAGGCCTTTTCATGTACTCCTGTATCGTGCCTCTGCGTTTCAATCGCAGAAATGCGTTGTATTCGATTGTTTGCACTCAAACAGGCACATGCCACTTATCCCGCAACTCACAAGCTACCGATTCCAGAAGGCACTCGTACAGTGTGGAACTGCCGCTCGCTGAGTAAGAAATGAACGAGCAGAAGCTACTTGCTGTGTACACAATCGGGCGTGCGCCCAGCAGGGAACCATATCGTCCTTCGTCCAAGGCGCACATCATAGTGTATGTACTTATTTTGTCCAACAGTTCGCCACTCGCTACGTGCACCAAACCCTACGTTTCAGTTATCGCTGCCTAAAGCAGGCAACCACTATTCCTACGCAGATGACGCATGAGAGAAGCACAGTACGAAAGAGCAATGTATTCTACAGATAGATCTGCTCTATTCCCAACTGGCCATATCGGAGTTACGCGATAGAAAGTCAAGCAAGAACTGATTTGAAAAACGTGAGCAAACGCGTTCTTGCGGTAGATGGGGAAAACCACACCCGCAGACATTCGACGAAAGAGAAGTGCACTTTGTACGGGCCTAGCATCTACGACCTCTTCGGTGGTATGCTCTTTTTTACTCAAGGCGAACATGCTCGCACAAGCCTAGTCTATGGCACGTCGTGTAGCATTCGACTGTTAACGCAACACGTGAAGCATGCCAGATGACAGGAATCCACCGTTGAATCAGAGGGCGTGTGGTGAGGCCTTACCCACACCTAGTGCACTCCGAAGGGAATTCGAACACCCTTGAAAGCAAGATCTCCCGAAACTTCGTCGTCTTCGCGAAATTTGCTTCGTTGTTGACTTTTTCGTTCGCTGGCTGTCACCCCTCTTGCTCGAACCCTGCCGTGGTCCCATTGCTGCCTGGACCCGGTGGTTTTCCAGGCAGCGGGTATCGTTCCCGTACGCGGGTCTGCTACAGGTGGCATGTCGGAGGAGGACCCTCACATGCCGAAATGGGCTCTGGACCCCTTGCTGACGGAGTCTAGCCCACTTCAGACTGGAAGGGGCACGGAGGGTCATGGGGCAGTCGATGGGGCGGATGAGCCAGACAGCGAGGCGGATTACGACTCAGATTTTTCCGACGAAGACATGGCACGTGTGAGCTTCAAACTGCCCGTGGAAGGAGAGATGTTACGTTTCGATGTCTGCTAAAAAAGTTGACCGACTGGGTATATGGGGCGGTAACGAAACGTCGCGGAGTATTGGGCTCGATACCCCTTGATCAAGTTGGCCAGGGGGATACATTGTGCTGGTGTGTAGTACGGTGCATTGGAATGGCAGCATGTACCAACAAGTTCGATGTTGCTGGGACGATTGAGGGCCGTCACCCGGTGGATGAACCGTACAGCGAGGCCTGTTGATATAGCCAGGGTGTTGCCTAGTCTTTGGTGTCGTGTAGCAAGTATTCAAGGTTGTCACGCCCGGCCTCCTGATCGGTCACACCGTACATGGCACCATGATTGTTGCCTCCGGTAGCCCGCTTTGAACACCCGCGATAGCTCGTCAGAAGGTTTCCGAAGCCCTCGACGGCAGATGTAAAGCAGCAGTGTTTTCCATCACACCGCAAATTTGTATCTTGGCCGAAATTCTATGTTGAAACTCCGCTGTTTGTTCCGTTTAGCAATTGGACACCAAAGGTTGCGAAATGTCGGATGTCCGACAACTTCCCGCTCGTCGATCGCCTGCCGCAAACTACACCGCCTACAGTATTCGGGCGTCCGAACAGTGCGGCGAGGGTGCCTCTTGGACTCGTTGCTGCTGCTCAACGCCATCACCGTAATCGCGGCCCTGGGAGTAGGTGTTGCGCAGGGTATGGTGCTGGGATACCACAAGGACCTCTCGCGTGAGTAAATAGAGGGAAGACTTGTCCCATCTGTTTTATTATTGTAGAAGGTACTTACCTCCGCCTTGAGGGTGAAAAATTGCCGCTTCGACCGCGCAGGCGTTCTATTGAGGACGGGGCACTGGTCGTGTATGATCCACTTGGTGATTTTCTTAGAATTTTAGATGGTAGCAGTAGTATTTTTTTCCGGGATGGTGTTGTTTGCACGGATACTATGATCAGTGTTGATGATGATATCGCGCAGCCTGGAAATGTACATCTTTTTGTCGGTGGTTGGCAGGTGTAGCGGCCGCTGTAGGTGCCGTACGTGTTGCCTAGTGAAGTGGTATCGTTTACGTCCTAACCTCTCGCCCCCAACCGTGTGCTGACCATTCTCTTCGCTTATCCTCCTCTCTGAACTTGGAGGCGCGTGTTTGAGCTGAACTGCTTTGGGCCTTCTTCGTTTACCTCGAATAGGTTCAACTAAATATTGATCCAGCCTGAATTTCTAATTCACACCGGAATGGGTGCGGCTCGATATACCGCAGATTATGAACATCGACTCCTAGAGAATGGGGTAAATTTGCGTTCGTTTGAGTTCGACGCCTCAAACGATTTTTTGGTTTCGTTTCGCCCCCCCCTACTTGTTATTTTCAGCGGAATCGGTGGCTGTTCGGTGCTACAACATCTTGTTCTGCATGTTGATCATCATGGCGGAGCTCGAGTGGACAACGACGGTTCGAGAAATGTTCGTGCTCCATTCCTGGATACCTCGAGGGGTGGTTTACTCCTTGTGAGTCTCGTTGGGAAAATGCTTCATGGCATTCCGAACAAGTTGCATCGATATATCGCTTTCAGTATCAGCCGCGGCGCAGCGTGCTGCAAGTTTTGAACTGACCCTTATCGTGGTTCTCGTCGTTCATTGCATTGCCTGCGTCTAGAATATCCGCAGTGACCCGTTCGGTGCCGTTCCCTCAATCGTGCGTGTCTTCTTCTTCACATACGTATACAGTTCCGTTTGTCTCAAACAGCCAAAAAAAGGTAGACGTGTGCAGCGTTTTTGGCTGTTGTGGAAAGGGGTCGTTCAATCAGCTACGCCGTTGTGGAACTCTAGCACTTACCTTACCCAGGAGAGCCGCGGATAGTCGTACTACTTCAGAAGATCCAATGTTCCTCTGGAAAGACTATCTCTGCTTCCCCGTGAACGAGTTCACTTACGCATCACAATGCACTCTGCTGCCGCCTGCGTAGCGTCGGTGTCCTGGTACTAGAGGAGGAGGATGAAAAGGGGCTAGACCTCGGAGGCTTTGGCCTGTACATCACGATCATTGCGTGGATCATGGTGGGCATCGGGGCGCTCTACTTTCTTTTGGTGAGCACAAGCACTTATGTGGTGTGGCGTACGGACCACGTTGGACTTGCATATGTAAGTAGGCGTCGATATCAACTTAGTGCACACGCGTCTGTGAAGCTGACCGCATGCTAGACCTCAGGTTGACGCCGGCAGTGGTAACGACCCGGTGCAGCAGTCAGCTACCCTGTGCAAGACATGCTCTCGACGTTGAACGCGTTCATTCTATTGTTGTGTTTCCAGTCCACATGCGTCAATCGTTGTGTGAGTCGTATACCAATGCCGGCCTTCTCGTGTGCCTCAATCTTGTCCTTCCTCGCTCTACCTTAGCCTTAGCTTGGAATTCTACACGTGGGTAACTCGACCTCACTTCTCTTGAACGCTTAAGATCGCTTGACCGCTTCACAACACCCGTGATCATCTCGAGCACGTTTTTTTTGTTTCTTGTCTCAAAAAAGAAGCAACTCTCCAAAGTACCAAAACTTTCACTTTTTTGTTTCGATACCAAGTCAACTGTTTCGGCAAGTCTCCATTTCCAAGTACTAGTGTTTCCCACATAGCCCCTCATTGCCTTCGTTGTTTTATTGGTGTCACGTCAGGGTCTCTGCTGCGTGAAACGAATCCGGGATAAAAAAATGGCGAGGCACAAGACCCTCGTGGCGCACGCGGAGATGCAAGCAGCTATGAGAAGAGATCACGACGCCATCGCATGAAAATATGATCGATTTTGAACAATATCGCGACCCACACGCCCATCCTTATTTCAATGGCTTTGTTCTCTGCACCGAGGCGCTAGGATTGACTTTGGTTTGGCTTGCGTTTTGCAGTTTGGTGTAACGAAGTATGCAGGAGGAAGACAAGGACGAAAATATTACGCGAGATACACGTGTGCAAGGTACGATACGAGTACAGTATAAATAGTTTTTTTTAAATGTTCAGCAAGACGTGTATGTTAAGTGCTGGCACGCTTTTCTCAGCCCATGTTGTTTGCACGGTTGGTTTTCAGTCGGCTGCTGGAATGAAGCGTGTCCCCAGTACACGTAGTTCTATTTTGTGCTGCTTCTGTGCGTTCATGGATGGTGTTGGATTCTACCTTGGTAAACATGACAGTACCCTGCTTGGGCATCGGCATCTTGATTGAATACAAATATGTATGATTGTCGGTGTTAATAATGACGATGTGATCGCAGTATCGTGTGTTCAGGAAGTGCCCCGTCCTTGCTGCCGCAGCGTTATCTACTATTACCTTCGCTCATGCTCTGTCTCCCCGTCTCGCTGGTGTTTTTTTTTAAGTAAACGTAACCTCACAGAAAGACTACTGGTGTTTTTTGTTGGTCGTGAAATCGGCTGTGCCCTCGGGGTCTTTGGCAACTGAGACAGGCAGGATTCGTGTTCTCGTGTGGCAAGCAGGCTGACTTTCTGTCTCTTCGTGGCCCTTGCCGTGGAAAACTATGGTGTGCCGCCTTGTGTTTTTCGTCGGGGACCGACTTCGTGGTCGGTGTGTGTTCCATGGAGTATTCTATGACTGCACGAATACATGGATGTCGGCGAAAAGTTCTTCTAGGTAACGGGAAGGATCGGTCGCTGCATCGGTGCGTTCGCGCCTGCTGTCGAACCTGGTTTGCTAGAGAGCGAAAGCGTCGACACCACAAATGAACGCATGCAATAAATGCCGCTCTGAGTCTGACTCAGATTCGATAAGGAAAGGTGATGAAAACCCCGATTTCAGATACTCGGGTCTATATCCAAGGCAAATAGTCGCAACGTCGACATGCCGGCTCCGAACGTGTTGTTCATGTTCGATGCCAAATCGGTGGAGGACATCATGGAGCAGCGACTTGGCGCATTGACGCGACCAGTTCTGTTCCTGGGGGCGTGCTGTCGACGGCTGAAGCTGCGGTCCGGACTACCCATCTTTTTCTGTACGCGCCGATACAGACCCAACCTCCTGTAGTAGCTCACATCACTGGCTGCCTTGGACGACCAACAGTTTGGGGGGTGGGGTCTGTGACGGCGCGTACAGCAAGTCTACTACTTCGTATTGTTGATTGTGAATAACGTGGACCCAGTTTTTGTGGATGTTCGGACGGCACCCTCAGCCTTCAACAGCGCAACGACACTTTTTAACGCAGAGGACTTGGTAAAGCCCTCGCCGTGTCGCCTGTCTAGAAGTTAGAGAAATGGAATTTGTCTTGATTGGCACGATTGGCAGTCAAAAAAAGTGTGGAGGTATGTATGTACATGTCGACGCAGCTACTTGCGGCATCTAAGCGTTTCCCCCCTGCAGAACACGTCCCAACCGCTCTTTCGCTCTTACGCATCTCGCGTGTGATCGCTGGGTGCTCTGTCGGTCGTTTTCGAAAATCTCAGTACGAAGATCGATCCACCCCCAAGATCCACCCCGCCACCGGAGAATGCGGCGAAATTTCCTGATACCCGAACCGAACTGGGAACCCGGGGTTGCCTCTGCCGTGACACTTGATCTCCCTCTTCCCTCTTCCCTTTTCCTTCTCTCGCAAGGCCAGTCTCTAGCAGCAAGGACATCGCCACTACAGGACGCCACAGAGAGCAATGTCTGACCAGGTGAGTACTAAGAAGAAGCAACCCAGCAGCCTCGAGAGGTTCCTCGTCAAACAGCTGCTGTAGAACAAGTGAGAACCTATGCACCTGTGCACACCAGGCATCAAAAATCTGGGACAGTTTTCCAGGTGTTCCGTAGGACCAAATTGCGCAGATACTGCAGTCTTTGTTGTCTGCACCGTTAGCAGCCACCAACGACCGCTCATTGCCTGTCGTAGACAGTCAGTCATGTCCAATACAACTCGGGCCTTGGGCAGGCCGGGGCCACAACATGGAGATCATCCGATCAACACCCGTGCTCGCAGCTTGCCCCGATGTCACATGTCGCTTTGTGTGGTTTAGGCTCCTGAAGGCCCCGTATCACATGTCGCTTTGTAGGGTTTAGGTTCCTGAAGGGGGCGGCAACTCGATATCCTTGTTGTGCTCCCTAACCTTTGAACGTTCGCTGTAGCTTATGTAGTGGGTGTTTCAGACGCTTGTGCAATGTTATGTACGTTGGGTATGTACACATGCAGATGCAGACGCACCCTTGAGGCCGTTTCTTACGGTTCTGTTTTGGAGCTGTCTTTTTCTTTCTTCCTTCTCAAAAAAAGACAACTGGCCACAGAACCCCTTCTTACGGTGTCTTTTCTCAGGGAAAAAAGGCAATGAAAAAAAGACAACCCGTTTTGGACAGCCCATCCTGTCTTTTTCCGGGGCAGTTTTGAATAAGTCGGGGCTGTCTTTTTCTGTGGTCTTTTTTTGGTCACAACCACATGTCGCTACCTTCAAAGTTAATCTCTCGACGGTTGATCCCCGCAAACTCTAACGGTGTTCACACGAACTGTGTCATGTGACTGGTGTAGAGTCAGTAGCATCAGCGGTAGCGTTGTTTTTTCATTCGGCTGGACCAAGTGGACAACCCGATGTGTGCGGCCAAAACAAGCGGCAAACGAGCCGAGAGAGTCTGGACGCAGCAGCGGGGGTCTTTGTTGGTGTGCTGTCAACTTTTGCAAACCCAACTTTTGGGCGCCCTATAGCCTCCTGATCTGTGTCAACCACCAAACAAGACGGACCATACGCTCAGCTCGTGGCGGATACCTTTGTCATCGCTGTTGCTGGAGTGGGTGGCGAGGGAGCATCGATGAACCAAAGTTGCGACACGGGCGAAAGAGCAAAAAAAATTGCTTGAAGACGAGACGGGTCATTTTTCCCGCTTGTTCACGACTCTTGCGCTCACAATTTTTGAGCGCCCTTCAGCCTCTGGTCTGTATCAACCACCACACATGGCGGATGATACACACAGCTCATGGCGGATACCTTTGTCATCGCTGGTGCTGGAGTGGGTGGCGAGGGAGCATCGATAAACCAAAGTTGCGACACAGGCCAAAGAGCAAAAAAGAACTGGTTGCTGTCTCGGTTGGTATTTTTCCGGCGTGCTGTTGACCCTCGCCACCTCAGTTTCCGTGCCTCCAATCGCCCTGTGGTCTCTAACAGCCACCACCCAAGACGGACCATACACACAGCTCATGGCGGATGCCTTTGTCATCGCTGTTGCTTCACTGTATGCGGAGATATCACCGAAACACCATAGCGGTGGAAGGTGTATGTATGTGTGACGAACGGCCGTGGCAGGGTCTCTTTTTTTCGGTCGATGACTCGGGATAGAAAAAAGGATGGACCAGCACCGCAAGAAGGGGGTCATATTTTTTGTAGATCATTTTTGGGTCGTCTCTTTTGGGGAAAAAATATCTAATAAAAAAGACACCGTAACGAATGGCCTGACTACAGAAATTCGGGATGACATGCATGCTGTCCGATATGACTCGCCCATGATGCCGTATCCGGTTGCGAGTAGATTGGTCTTAGCTCGAGTCAATCAAGAGCTGAAGGCTTGGCTCGATACTTCCTAACGACAGGATTTTCTTTCATTTCGTGTGGAGATTGCTCCCCGTACATCGTCTTCGAAAAATTCTGGGTCACCTCCCCATGTAGCGAGAAAAAGAAGGGGGGAGAGAGAGACTCAGACAGGGGCGTAGATAGATATGGAGGACGTCACCCAGAGGCCACCACTGCTACTGCACTCGCTCACACCTCACCCGACAACCCCACTCAGCCGTGTACTCAGGGCTCCTGTTATGTAGCACCGCAGGGACGAGTGAAAGTTTTGTTTGGTGTGGACGAAGCTCTCATCAATCATCAATCAACTGCTTGCTGTCAGCTGCAGCTGCTGCTGCTGTGTGGATGTGCACCACTTGCTTCCCTGGCCTACGCTGCTAGCAGCGGCAACGGGCTCTAAAATTCAACCCCAAAGCCTCCCATGAGTGCATTTCGTCGCCCTTGGCCTACAGCAGTGTGTACCTCCCATTGTCTCTCTGTTTGATGGGGGTGCGTCTGTTGTGGATAAAAAGAAGATTGGCCGGCAAACAGACGAAGATACTATCATACATGCGCATATTGATTGACTTATGTGCACTTGCTTCTCTCGCTTATACGCTGCCAGCAGCAGGCAACGGACTTCAAAAATCGCTCCCGATGCCTCGTATGTGTTCCTTTGGCCGCCCTTGGCCTGCATCTGTGTGGGAAGCTAAGAGATCGGCCTGCAGACAGATGAAGACAGACAGCCGATTGACCGGTGTCGCCTCCCTCGATTGTTGTGCTGCCGACAGCAGGCAACGGGCTCTGACTCTGACAGTCGCACCCTACGCCTCCTATGATGTGTTCCTTTGGCAGTCTCGTGTGCTGCTGTGCTTTGTCTTTCTGGGGATTCCCCCTCGTCGGCGTGACCATCAGCCAATCATCTGTCTCTGTCCTACAAAATGTCCTACAAATCGACATGTGATTGGTGGGAGTATGATATTCTTTAGTTCTTCCGGTCGTACAAACCAATTGCCCTATGTATGGGTCCGCTGCCAAAACTCTGCGAATAGGACAAGGGTGCTTCACCCGCCCCCCTGCACGGCGGCCGGGCTCGCGTAATACCCGTAGGTAAAGAAAATAGTCTAAGTTGTAAATAATATCGACAAATGGTGTAGATTTAATTTTGTCGTTGACGTTGACGACTTTACCATCACCAACCCGGACTACTACTATGAATCCGGGGGTTCCTCTCACGCTTGATACACACATTTACTTCTGAGCGGGCTGTGCAACG